ACTAGATGGGGCTCATTTGCATCCCACAAAGGGCCAGCGCCCCATTTTGACTTCCACATGAGAAATAAACTTGCATTTTGTTCAAGCTGATTTTGTTTTGTCTCTGTGGCTAAATGAAAAGTACTAGTATTGTATATTGGAAAATAGCCAAGAGAGTAGAACTTAAAAGTTCTCACTACAAGAAAAAAGAATTGTGAGATCTGAAGATGGCAGCATAGGTAAACGGTACTCTCTGCATCCCACAATCACATCAAAATTACAACTAAAATACAGAACAACCATCATTCAGAACCACCTGAAAGCTAGCTAAATGGAAGTCCTACAACAAGAAAAGTCAAGAAGAAAGCACATTGAGGTTGGTAGGAGGGGCAGAGGTGTGGAACAGGGTGGTTCAATACCTACTAGTATGTGTGCCAGTCTTTTAATCGGGAGGGAGATCTTCCTTGTGGAGGCTGCCCGTAAGGAGCAAGGGGTCCCAGCCCCACACTAAACACCCAATCCAGGATCTCAGAGCTGGGAAGAGAAGTTCCCATAACGTCGGGCTGTAAAAACCAGCGGGGAATGTGGCTGAGGGACACAGAGGCTGCCATAGACCCAGGTGTACGATGAATTTACTCAGACTCCATCCCTCTGAGCTCCAGCACCAGGAGGTGTTGGGGGACCCAGACACATACTCAGAGAAACTAGATTGTCTGGCATTGGGGCAGCCTTCTCCCAAATGGGGGTGCTCGCAGGGGTCATTGTTCCTGTACTGGGAACTCCCCTGTTGCAGGGCTGACTGGCAGCCATATCTAAGTCTCCATCAACCTGACTCACACTGTTTGCTCTGCCCTGGTGATTCCCTGAGACCCCACCCCATCCAATTTGCAGCCCCACCCAAGCTGTTTGCAGCGGCTTTTCCATATGAATGGCATGTCCTGGCTCAGGCTTCAGACTTTCCTAAAATCTCTCATGCAAACAGCAGCTGGTGTCAGCATGCTGTAAACCTAGCAATAAAAGGCCCAACCCTGACTTGCTTCACAACCTGGGCACTTACAAACCCAATACACATAGCAGGCATCTGCAGATCCCTCTGTAGCTCCTGCCTGGTGGTCCCAGGCAGTGGCTGACTTTGCACCTCCCTGGAGACCCTAGAGCCAATGCACCCAGTGGACAGCATCAGACCATAGCAGATTATAGCTCTACACATCCAAAAGCGACACTCTCAAGGGGCAGACTCAGTGAGCAACGAACCCTTTTGAAGCAAGTCCTGCTCCATAGGGGTGTCTCCTGCACAGCAGTTCTTCCACTGTAGTCACACCTGGTCCTCACAGCTAATTGGCCTGGAGGACAATTCCTCCCAGTGATTCCAATAGCAATCAAGGCTCAACTGCAACAAGACTGTATACACAGTCCACAAAGGGGCACACTTAGAGAGCCCAGCTCAGGTGACCGGGGAGGCTGAGCCACTGGGTCCTACAGGACACCTATTATACAAGGCCATTCTACCAACTCCAGGAGACATAGCAGCTCTACTTAATACATAGAAATAAACACAGGGAAGGAAACAAAATGTAGAGACAAAGAAACATGTCACAAATTAAAGAAATGGAAGCAAGCAAACTGCTGGACACAAAGTTCAAAACCATGATTATAAGGTTGCTCAAGGATCTTAATGAGAGCTTCAAGGGACTTAGTGAGACTTTCAAGGATCTTAGTGAGAATGTCAAAGACATGAAAAAGGACCAGTCAGAAATTAAGCATACACTAACTGAAATAAAGAATAATTTACAGGGATTCATCAGTAGAGTAGACGATGCCAAGAATCAAATCAGCTATTTGGAATATGAGGAAGTAAAAAACACCCAATCAGAAGAGCAAAAGGAAAAAAGAATTCAAATACTAGTATATGAAGATAGTGTAAGGAGCCTCTGGGACAACTTCAAGCATACCAACATTTGTATTGTCGGGGTGCCAGAAGGAGAAGAGAGACAGCAAGATATTGAAAACCTATTTGAAGAAATAATGACAGAAAACTTCTCCTACCTGGTGAAAGAAATAGACTGACAAGTCCAGGAAGCCCAGAGAGTCCCAAATAAGAGGAAGCCAAAGAAGCCCACACAAGACACATCATAATTAAAATGCTGAGGGTTAAAGATAAAAAGAGAATTTTAAAAGCAGGAAGAGAAAAGCGGTTAGTTACCTAAAAGGCGTCCATTGGATTGTCAGCTGATTTCTCTTTGCAGGCCAGAAGGGAGTGGCAAAAAATATTTAAAGTGGTGAATAGCAAGGACCTACAACCAAGATTACCCTACCCACCAAAGTTATCATTTAGAATTAAAGGTCAAATAAAGAGCTTCACAGACAAGAAAAAGCTAAAGGAGTTCATCACCACCACACCTGTATTACATGGGATATTGAAGGGTATTCTTTAACAAGAGGAAGAAGAATAAAGATTAAAAATATGAACAATAAGATGGCAATAAATACATATCTATCAACAATTAAATCAAAATCAAATTAAATGAACAAGAAATCTAATAAAATAAATTGGTGAATAAAATAGAATCAGAGGCATTGAAACATGGAACAGACTAATGAATCTCAAAGGGAAGGGGGGAGTAGAAAGAGATAAACCAAAGATCTTAAATGCATATATGCATTCCTGTAACTGGACAATCAATGGGTCTGTGTTGCTGTCGCTACTTGAGCCAATTAAGCAGAGATAGGGTTGAATCATGTGTGAGTGTTTATTCCAATACTGCCAGCAATATGGGAGAGCAGCAGGTCATCCACAGAAATCTGCTCTGCAGCCCCCCATAAGCCAGCTGTTTATATAGGGTAGGACAAAGATTACATGGGGAAGTAGGGAGTACAGGAATGGGGAAGTAGGCAATTTGGGCTGGGATGGGATGGGACTCCATTGTTTGGGCAACAAGGTTGTTATCTTTCCATGATAATAGGCAGTTATTGAATGAGAATGGACCACATTCCAAGGTTGTCCTTTCTTTAACCAACACAAGTCAATCATGGTTAACTGAGCATGATTAATATTTCTCATAACCATAGCTAGTCTCCAATATACTATTTCTGCCCCTAACATTACCTGTGGACACAAACAATAGGGTGGTGAAGGCCTGGAGTGGGTAGGAACTGGGTGGAGGGGAACAATGAGGGGGAAAAAGAGAGACACCTGTAATACTCTCAACAATAAAGATTTTTTTAAAAAGAAAAAATTGTAATTATGTGAGGTGATGGATATTAACTAAACTTATTGTGGTGATCACTGTGCAACATATATGTATATCAAACCACCTCAAACTTATACAGTGTTCTATGTCAATTATAACTCAATAAAACCGAGGGGTGGGGTGGGGGTCATGCAAGCCTAGAAAGAAGCAGAAGAAATAGATGCAAAACACTGTCAGCTCAACAGCTCTCCTGGGAGCCAGAAGGGTAGGCCCCAGGTGCTTTTTCTCCATATCAGTTTGGTGTTGAGCACTTCCTTGCTCCTTTAGGCCTGTCCACTACATGGCCTTCCCACAGTTCAACTTCCTCTGCTCTCTCCAAAGCTTCACCTTGAAAATATATTTAACTGGTTCTATCTGCCCTTCAACCCTATGTGAAATTGCAGGTCCACAAGCAAAACCAACTAGCTGCGTCCTAGCTGGTTTGGCTCAGTGGATACAGCCTCGGCATGAGGACTGAAGGGTCCCAGGTTCGATTCCAGTCAAGGGCATGTGCTCGGATTGCAGGCTCAATCTCCAGTAGGGGGCATGCAGGAGGCAGCCAATCAATGATTCTCTCTCATCATTGATGTTTCTATCTCTCTCTCCCTCTCCCTTCCTCTCTAAAATCAATAAAATTATTAAAAAAACAACAACAACAACACCAACTAGTTGCTGTGGACCCTGACAAGATAGATTCATTTAATGCAGCGGTTCTCAACCTGTGGGTCGAGAACAATGAAAATACATCCTGCATATCAGATATTTACATTACAATTCATAACAGTAGCAAAATTACAGTTATGAAGTAGCAACGAAAATAATTTTATGGTTGGGGTCACCACAACATGAGGAACTGTATTAAAGGGTCGAAGCATTAGGAAGGTTGAGAACCACTGATTTAATGTGAACCTTGAAAAGAAATTTATCTGCTGAGATGGACTCACTATGCTCAACCGAGAACCTAAATTTTATAAATAATAAAAGCCCAGCAGCTATTTACTGACAGGGGCTTCTCAGGTACGCTGTATAGAAGAACTCAGACTGAACTCTTTTTTAAAATAGATTGATTGGTTGATTGATTGATAGATTGATTGATTTTGAGAGAGAAAGATAAATTTGTTGTTTTATTTATTTATGCATTCATTGGTTGAATCTTTTATGTGCCCTAATCAGAGATGGAACCCACAACCTTGGCATATCTGGAGGAGGCTCTAAGCAACTGGCCAGGGCCTCAGACTGAACTCGTGGCTTCCTTCATTGTACCCTGCTCATTTAGCTATCTGAGTCAACTATTATAAGGGAGTCAGTTCCTAGTTTGGTTTTTCCACCAATGGACAAAAATCTACCCCATCCAATTAGAACTGCTCCATAACAACCAATCAGGATGTGTAATGCCAACCAATCAGGACTATGAGTTTAGACCAATAAGAAGTATACAAATTTGGATACCTCATTTACATGAAATGGACCTAATTGAGAACATGGTAGAAACTTTTGCTATAAAAGGCAACTTCCCCTTTGCCTGGTGGGACACAGTTTAGGTTGCAACCTGAATCTGTATCTCCTGGGATGCAGTTACTTTAGCTCAAATAAATCCTTTTGTAAAAAATGTTTTTATTGATTTTTAGAGAGATAGGGAGAGAGAGAGAAACATTGATCTGCTGCCTCCTGCATGGCCCCCACCGGGTTTCAAGCCCCCAACCCGGGCATGTGCTCTGACTGGGAATTGAACCATTGAACTGGCCACCTCCTGGTGCATGGGTCGATGCTCAACCACTAAGCCACACCAGGTGGGCTCAAATAAAATGTTTTTTATTCTTTGTTACAAAATTACAAATTAATTTTGGTTTACATTATAGACTCTTCACTCTTGGTTTATATTCTCAGTAAAAAGAAATGGTCTCTGGCCAGTCAGTGTATTCACTGACATTTCTCTAAGGAGAGAGAAGGAACAGGCAACTCTAGGGAAGACAGCTTCATGGCACCAGAGATCTCATTGGCTCCTTGGCTTCTTTTTTCTCCACGATAGCCCAAATCTATTCCTGTGTGAACATCTCCTTTAAAAAGAATGTTAAGGTCAGGTGGGCTGTGGTCAGGTTGGTGAGACAGGAGAGGGTGGATGATAAGGTGGGATGGGTAAGTGCTGATACAGTGGTGCTGGGGGTGGGAAGGGGATGAAGCCTAATGCTCAAGATCAAAGTTAGGGAAATAAAGTTTCACTGCCAAGTCCAAAGGTCAGACACAGAGTGGAAAATCCAACGCAGAGCCAAGTCATGAGCCAGCAGGACTGGAAAAATGGAAACAGGCCAGGGAACAAGAAGAGGCCTGGCATGGTGGCTGCTGTAACTGAGCTGACACTAAGCCTAGCTTCACTGTGTCCCAACCTAGGCTCACACACAAGGGTTACAACAAAGACAACAGGTTCTGCAGGGGTTAAGCCATATCACAAGGGAGAAGAGGAGAAACCAGGGTTTCTTAACTGAGGTTCATAACCTCCCTGTTGTACACAAGATGTGTGGCTTTGTACATTTTTCTGAGATTGTTCAAGGGAACAGCACCCCCAAAAGGATTATTTTTAGTTTTAACCTGGTCATCGCTGCAAGCTCTCCTCAGTGTTGGCATAGGCCCCTAGTGGCTGAAGGTCTTAGCCACCTTCCAAAGGGGCAGAATGCCCCTGCCACATGGGCCCCAGGAGCTCCCTGCAGCGCTGCTGTCAGCTGCTGTCATCGGAGCAGAGTCCTCAGGGAGCGCTGAGCCCAGGGTGTAAACTATGGAGGATGTGTTGAAAGCGGCAGGAACAACCACATCAGGTGTGGGACCGTTGGGGTCAGACAAAACCTGGGTTCAGCAACCTCTGTACTTGGGTTCTGGCTGGGAGAGAATTCAGAGCCAAGACCCAAACTGTAAGAGAACATTTGGTAAATCACAGCGGTAGGAGAATTAATTTCTAGAAGAAATGGAACAAGTTATAGAGGTAAAGGAAGGGCCCTTGGAGCTTTGGAGTGAGGAAGCGAAAGGTAACAGCCTGGGGCAGGGGGAGGTAGGGAGAGGAGGAGGGAAAAGGGAAAGGGAAAGGCACCAGGCGTGCTCCCAGGAGGAAGAGCGCACTGGGTCTTCCATCCTAAGGGTTTTAAGGGTGGAGATTTTAGGGGAGGTCCAGGGGAAGATCTTAATAGAATATTCAGCAACTTTCCAGGTGAGTCATTTCAGGGTTGTGGTCTCCTCTGATGTATTGGCCGACACTAGTGTAGGGGATCATTACTCTATGCAGCTGGTTCAGACTGGCTGGTTTTGTTGCTTATCTGGGTACAACTGAGGCCTAGATGTTATCTCTAGGGAGGAAAGACTCAGGGGTCCAAACCCCATGACCAGTGATCTGCTAGGGGAGGAAAGGTCACACTGGGGGTGAGGTCCCACCCTACAGTTGTCCTTTGCTAGGCACCTGGGGCTTTCCACCCTGTGATCTTCTGTGCCTGGCCCACCGTCCTGGCTCTGTTCATGTCTATCTAACTGCCTATCACATATGCACACAAGCGCAGAGGGAACGGACTAAAAGCGGGGTGTGATTTGTGCCCCTCGGAAATACAGGCACAGTTCAAATGGGGACACTGACTGGCTCAGATGGAAGTTTGCCCACTTTTTATAATCCCTCCTTTTCGTTTTACTGGGAAAACAAAGGTATCCTCACCCCTCTGCTTTTGGAAATGGTTGGAGTTCCGGGAAGGCGTGCAGCGCCCCGACCAGCACGCCGCCTTTGTCCAATGTACTTCAGGGCCGGCAAGTGCGGGGATCTGAGCGGAGGAGAAGGGCTCCTCGCCCCTGCGGCGCCCCTCCCCCGCCCCC